GAGTTGTCGAGAAACGCCAGGAAGAGGGTCCTCTGAAATCGTTGCTTTCATTAACTTTTTAACTCCGGCTGTTAGGCGAAGGTGGTTCAAACCGACCAGCTGCTCTGAAAGAGCAAGATGAGGTGGTCCACCCCTGTAAAGATTTGGCTAGAACGCCGCTGTCGGGATCCACTCGGTGACTCTGGGTTCGGGGATTTGAGGCTTACTGGTTTCCAGATCTGAATTCAGTGGTTTTGAACACGACGTTTGTGGGTTTGCCCAGTCCACACTGTGTGGCTGCAAGTCTTGGCCCTCCATTGCGCTGTGCTCGGCAGTGCCCCCTGGAACCTTAGTGTCATCGTTTCAGTCCCCCAAGAAGACAGCCTAGGTTCACTCTTTGTTCCAACTTTGTTCCCGCTTCCTGCCTGCACTGTCCCAGATGCCAGCCCCATGGTCACAAAGGAGCGCTGGCCCTTTGCCAGCCCGCTTCTGCCTGTGCTCTGGCGGCCCTGCCCAATGGGAGTTTGTGTTCCCCCAGCAGTCTCCCCAGCGCTTGCACCTCAGTAGGTGTTTGAGATCAAAACAAAGACAGACCCCCATTGCTGTCCTTAGCGAGGCTTCTGAATTGCATGCTGGGTGGGGAAAGTGTGGCCTTGTGCCAGTGGGCATACCACTGCCCCTTCCCAGCGGTGTTGGTGACCTGGGCCCAGAGACTTCTTGGCCCTTAGCATCGGGGAGATAGAGGGCCTGAGTGGGAACAGGAAATGGAACCCCCAGGGTGAAGATGCCCCTGTAAATCCTGTGACACACCCAGCCATGAGGACCTTGTGTGAAGCTTCAGCTTCGAATCAAAAAAACCAAACTTGCCAGTTACTCAGTAGTTAGATCTCTTTATTCCGGGACTGGATGGCTGGCCAAATCAATAAACCCCCACCCCATGCGGAGCTGATCAGAGTTGACTGATGAAATTCTCTCTGGACCTTGCACTCAGCCAGGTGTGTGGCTCTACAGGGAACTAGAAGTGCTCCCTTACCTGGCTAGGGGCGCGGACATGCTTCCGTCCACCAATCACCAGCAGCCTTCCTCGGAAGTGTCTGTGCCTTCCAATCCCTGACCACCTTACTAGATACGGGCCCAGGGCCAGCCCAGCCACATGTCTCCCGGCAATAAAATGGTCTTTCCTATAGCCTGGGACGCTACAGACTGTGGGACTTCACCCAGGCGGGGTTTTTCCCTAATAAAGCCTGTTTGCTAAAATTCGGTTGATTCGGTTTCTGGCGCCTCTCGACTACCTTACACTGGAAGGTAGTCCTGAACCTGGCTGAGGGAAGGGAGTCAGAAAGGCCCCCTTGGGTGGGCCTTTGCCTCTGAAGCCCCCAGCTCAGGGTCACTGTCTGCACGGAGGGCTTGGACATCAACTGATTGTGGAGCACCCAGACAGTGGAGAAGGAACGCTGCAAGAACAGGAGTGAGCCTGCAGGCCCCCACCCCTGGAGAGCTGGAACAATGAGCAGCAACAACTACTGATAGGGCTGGGGGATAGACCAATGCCACTTAATGGAAGTAGAAGGAATGAATTGAGTGAGAAGGCTAAAATCACTGGGCAAAAATTTGAGGAGAAAGGGATTAGCGTGCTGTCAGACATCGCCCCCAAGAAACTTAGGCTGGTTGCTGCTGTGGAGTTGGCCTGGGTCTCACCAGGGGAAGTCAAGATGTCACAGGTCTGAGCTGTCAGCAGGCTCTACGGAAAGATCCCTGCTTCTAGGAACCATTAGCATCCCTTGGCTGGCGGCTCCCTCCTCCATCTTCAAAGCTTGCACCATAGCATCTTCCATTGTCACATCTGCTTCTGCCTCCTAACCCCCCACCCCTCTATTCTTAAGGACTCCTGTGATGACGGGAGGGGGTGTGGGAGGAGAGCACCCATTGGATTGCTAACCTCAAGGTCAGCTGTTCAAATCCAGCAACTGCTCCTCAGGAAGAGGATTTAGCAGTCTGCTTCCATAACGAGTCAGAGCCTCAGAAACCCTAAGGAGCATTGGACTCTACCCTTCAGGATCAGAAAAATCATAAACTGACATGTACTTCTCTATTGGGTATTAATGACTCATTCCTAAAGGGCAGGGCTCATCCCTGAAACCCACCTGTGTCCTGCGATGAGACAACCCTGTGTAATAGACTTCAACTTTTGCTGACTACACAAATGAATGTTTAGAATGACATGCTACATACCTACAACTGCTAAAAAGCTGAAATCTTTTCAAAAAGAGCCACTGTGGTGTCATGCCATCTTAGTCCACTGTTACTGCTTCTCAGTCACAACTTTGGACTGCTTGGTGTGGGGGTGTGGACAAGTTGGGGGCCCCTATGAGGAGCTTCACCCAGCTCGGCTGGACAGTCTGCTCAGGATGGCCTCCTAGCCCCACGTGAGCACCAGCCCTGCCCAGGGCACAGAGGGCCCTATTCAAAGATGCGCCACATTCTTTATGAGAACTGGTGAGGCCGAGGCTAGGCGTTGGACTGTGATCCGTGTGCTCGACAGTTCGTAATTGTCAGACCTCTAGCAGTTCCACAGAAAGACTGGGTTTTCTACTGTGAATGGTCACTATGAGTCAACATTGGCTCCGTGATGGTGAGTTTTGAGTACGAATTCCTTATGCTGTTCTCCATGGTTGGAGCCAAAAGCTCTCTCTGGCAGTTTGCTCTGACCCAAAGTGGTAGAGGTGATGGTATAGTGAGATTGACCTCTGTGGCTTCCTTCTTGCTCTTGGATTGCCCTAGTGAAGGGCAATAGCCGTCTTAACAGTCCTAGCATGAGCCGCCACTTGAGTAAGCATCTTGGAGAGTCCCTGCTCCTGAAGCTAGCTGTCCAAGTTTCTGACCCAGAGAAACTATGTGGTCTTCAGCCTTTCTGTTTTGGGGTGCTGCAGAGGCTCCCAGCCCAGTCCCAGGGTCCCAGTTGTGACTGCCATTGAGTGCTTGCCAGGGCCCTCCTGAGACTTAAAGAGAACTTGAGCTTGTGCCCGGCCTGGCCTCCAGGGGATGCAGGCCCCATGGAGGCTGGTCTGCACATATCTGTCCTGGGAACAGCCCCCTGCCCCCAACCTGTTGAGACGATTCTGGACATGGCAGTTCTGCCCCTGCCACATGTGCAGCCCTGGTATCTTCACCTCACTCTGTGGCTGCAAGGATGTCACCAGGATGTCACAGGCCTGCCCCTGGAAGGGCTGAGTGGCACCCCTCCATCAAGGGGCCTGGAAGGGAAGTGATGGGTGGGCCCGACTCTTTGGATACCCATAGGACAGGCCTGCCCTCTGCTCTGGCAGTGGCTCCAGGGCTGTGGGTGGGAGGAGCCCACAACATGACTAGGCCAAGGTTGTGGTGCAGGGGCCCTTCCTCCGCCTCGTGTGCTCAACAGTGACTGACCAGAGTGGTCAGTGGGTCGGCCAGGTTTTCACACTTGTCACTAGAACCATCCTAAAGCACAGTAGCGAAAACCATTTATCAGAAGCTGCGGTTTGGAAGCACTGTCCCAGGCTGTGGAGGCAGACCCCCCACTGAGCCTGCTGATTTTGTTTTCAAGGTCCACATGCTTGGGGACAGGAAGTGCCCAGCTCCCTTCCCACTTCCCCCTCCATCTCCCACAGAAGCCACATGAAGGTGCTACTGGAGGCTGCGGAGGGGGGTGTGGGTTGTTTCTGCGGGCTCCTGGTGGGTGGGGCTCAAGCCAGCAGGGCTCAACCCACCAGTTCCACCCAACAGATGGTCAGTAGGGGCCCAGCTGGGGGAGGGGCCGCCACCCCACATCTAGGTGGGTGGTGCTCCTCAAGCCTGCACAAGGGAACCGAGAGAGAGAAGGACCATGGAGACTGCTTCGGAGGACAGGCCAGTGTGCCCTCATAACACATGGCCTTTAGGCTGCTGATCCCAGAGGCCTGCCCGCTGCCACTCATCCATAGCTGTCCAAAAGGGGGCAGGCCACAGCATTCTGGAGGGCACCAGTGCCCTGCCCTGGGGGCAGTCAAGGCTTCTTGGAGCCAGGGGCATTTTTGATTGATTGGGTCCAAGGGTGCTGACAGTTGCCCACAAACCTCCAGGCCCAAGTGGGGAATGCCCATTGCTTGACACATGGCTGAGATTCCCCCCAGGACCCCCTACTTCAGCCCTTGCCCTGTGACTGCAGCTCCCTAGTGCCCCCACAGATACACCTGGCCTGAGGACTCCAGGGTCACTGCATCCCTCCTTGGCCCCAGTTCCAAAGGGCTTTGCCACAGGTCTGAGGCTGTACCCACCCCCAAGGGAGAGACAGTTGCCTTGCCTGCTCTCCCCCACCCTCCTGAGGATACCCACTGTGACCAAGGCGCTGACCCTGACAGACACCCAGACAGGCACGCACATGCCCATGCCACTGCTGATGGGATTTATTAAGGTCAATCCACATATGCCAGGAACCTGCCAAGAAGGGACCCAGTGGCCACCTGGCCTGGCCCAGGACTGAGGGGCCAAGCGCTCCACCCTGGGGCACCTCCAGAGAGAGTGTGTGGGCAGGGAACAAGGACTGGACAGCTAAGACTGCAGGGAGAAGCAGGAAGGGGAAGGGTAGAGGCAACGCATCTAGACAGTGGGACAAAACAAAACCGCACGGACTGTGTTCTTGGCTTGGCTCAGGCCCAGGTGCGGGGCAGACAGGTGGCTAGCCGGACATCTCCTCTCGCTGCTCCTTGTTCCTGCGCACCTCGGCAGCGTGCATCTCCTGTGGACCAGGCCATGGCGGTGGGTGGGCCTGCCTTTCCAGATGGAACCCAGCAGCGGACCCCCGAGCCCTCCCAACACAAGAGGGCAGCCCAGGCTATGGTGCCACCAGGACTGCCAGCTGCTGGCTTAGGGAGAGGAGGAAGTGGCAGTCAGAAGGTGGGGGTGACCATAGGCATCACTAGGGTGCCACATGAATGACCTTAGGTGCTGGCTGGGGCCCCCCTAGAATAACCAGGCCCCATCTGTGCTCCTAGCCTGAGGGACGTGGATTCTGCTGGATGGGATGTGGGGTCGAAACTGAATCCTGGCCAGAAAGCTGGCTTAAGTTTCTGTTCTTGTCTCTCCCAACGTCGGAATTGGCCTGTCTCACCCTGAGCTGGCCCTTAAGCAGGGCAGTGAGTCGCGGGGGTGGGGGTGGTAGAGATCTATGAAGGGTGGGGCTCCAAGGGCCTTCCTGCCCCTGCTTTCTGTGCCCTTCTGCCTACAGCAGCTTCTGGCCCTCTTAGTTCTCGGATGCGTTCCCTTCATTGTTAGCTAGCCTATCCCTGAGCTGCTAAGTCAGTTCTGGGTCTCCGCCTGCCCACCGTGCCCCGTGAGCCCTCCTCGGGCCCCGCCGCAGCCGCATCAGAGCTCCACCCCTGAGCCCCGGTCCCCGCCCTTAGCTCCTCGTACGCCCCGAGCTCCGCCCACACCTCAAGCTCCACCCAGCACGCTCGGCCGCCCGGGCCCACGCGGAGCTCCGCCCCACCAGAGGCCCCGCCCCCGACCCCTCGGGCCCGCCCCGCGCACCTTCTCGCGCAGCCGCTCGCGCAGCGCCGCCAGATGCGCCTCGCGGATTTCCTTGCTGAGCTCCATCTTGTAGTTGAGCTTCTCCTCCGCCAGGCGGCTGAAGTTGTTGTTCTCCTCCAGCGCCTTATGCAGCACCTCGCGCTCGTGCTCGCGCCGCTCCGCCAGCTGCTTCAGCACCTGCGCCTCTTGCGTCTGCGCGGGAGGACGGCTGCTGGAACGTGCGGCACCCACGGCGCCCCTGCCGGCGAGAGCTCACCTCCCCTCGGCACCGCCCCCACCAGGCCTGGGGCTAGCTTGAAGGAAGGGAGCCCCACCTCTCCGGCTCCCGCCCCTGCTCCCAGCTAAAACTCTCTCCTCTGCCCCGCCTCCTTGCCCAGGCGCCCTCCAGGAGACTGTCCGCTATCATCAATGGAGACCACCGCCTCCCAGACTTCCCAGACTTTAGCACAAGTCGTCCTCGCCACGTGGCCTGGGCGCAGGCCTCCCAGCTGCCCTTGGCCCTGGGAAGGCGAAGGTAGGGTTGCCTGGGCCTCCTGCCTCCAAAGCCTTCCGGGCCTCACTGGGCCTCTGTCTGCCTCCTAACGTCTGCTGAGCACCAAGTGCCTGCTCCAGGCACCAACCCCAGCTCCCAATTAGGCCAGCAGGGCGTGTGCATGCTCCCTGAGGAACATGCTAACTGTGGGAGGAGTGTGGGGAGCAGGCGCCGCGCTGTCCAGCCTTGGCAATCCCAGGAGGAGAGCATGGATACAGACCTCCGTTAACCCCAGGAGGCCGGCAAACCTGAGTATTTCTGTGAGCCACACAAAGCCCCAACCCTCCCCAGTGCCCACCGTGTGTGTGTGTGTGTGTGTGTGTGTGTGTGTGT